AACACATTGTGGATGGATCACGAGAACTTGCCAGCTTTGTTTAGTTCCACTTCATATTACACAGTGTTTTACAAAGTACCATACTTTAAAAAGATATTAGCTTGTAAGAGCATGTATTAAATAACTCCAAAATGCAATGGGGATTTAATTTTAAAGTGTGCCTTTAACATTTATGTAAAACGTTTTTTGTACTCATTCAATAGAAACTTATCTGGCCGCTGGGTAAAGCTAGCAATAAAACTACTTGTCTGCAATGTGTTAAGGGCAGAAAGTTGGAACAAGGAGCCAATGACTCTAACTGACCACTGGGGCCACCCTCCCGACCTTCAGCAAGTGCCTGCTGCGTGTAAAGCCATGAGGGCTGGGACCTACGTGTTGAGGATGCAGAAATAAATAGACCTAGAACAGCCCTCCATTCTCCCAGCCACAGCTTTCACGTTCTTTTGATTGTGGCCTATAGTGAGAGATACATTTAAATCATACATGTGTGCATGCTCCGGGCTATTCTGTTTCACCTTGCTAGTCTGTTCCTTTTTTTTTTTTTTTTTTAAGTGATTACAATCCAATGAATTGATATCTTTTGTTGTTGTCAATCCTTACCCAAGGATATTTTTTCCATTGATTTTTAGAGAGTAGAAGGGAGGGGGAGAGACACACAGAGAGAAACATTGATGTGAGCGACACATCGATTGGTTGCCTCCCCCATGTGCCCAAACCAGGGCTGGGGATTGAGCCTGCAACTGAAATAGAACCCAAGACCCTTCAGTCCTCCGGCCAATGCTTTAACTACTGAGCCAAACTGGCTAGGGCCAATAAATTGATATCTTGACTCCTACTGTGCAGTGGATCAAGTTGTGCAGCTAGAAAACACTGGGAAAAGGTACCCAACATGTCTCGTTATAAATCAATGTACAAATGAAGCCACAGAGGTATGTATGAAAGGTATGGAGCCCTGAAGAAGACAGGCATTAGGGGCCTGGAAAACCCTCTCCTATGCTCTTTCTGTTACCTGTTGTGGGGCACCTGCAGTTCATCCTGCGGGAAAGTCCGCCGGCCCCATTTCCCAGCACATCTCTCACCAGCTTCTCAATGGCCTCAGCCCCACCATCATCTACAGATACTGCCCCTGGGTGACCTGAACTAACGTCATCTGTGACACCCGCAAGGAGTCCAGGGACAGGGTAGCCCAGCTCTAGAGCTCTCTGAAGTTCCCCGAGCACAAGGAACCCACAGGGGATGCCTGCCTTTCATCTGACTCTGTCTTTTTCAGCCTCAGCACCCATTCAGTGAGTCTTGAGTGGAGGATGGGGGAGAGTAGGCCCTGGAGGAAAAGAGTGGGCCAGCAAGTGGCAAGGAAGCAACGACTGTTGATACAGAGATGTGATGTGAAGAGGCAACTCAATGCCAAAACACAGACTTCTCCTGGCAGAGGTTGGCTGGGTGGGGCTGCACACGGCCAGTGAGCTGTGGGCCCGAGTCCCAGGGAAGCAGACAGGGTACCAGCAGATGCCCTGGAGACCTCCCTCACACTGGCTGCCTTGCTGGCCAGTGCAGGCATGGAATTAATTCATGAGCTGCATGGACACGGGAGAGGGAAAGTATCTGTGCTAACGAGTAATCATAAAGAAAAGAATTAATGACATATGAATATTTAACTTCCAAGAAGACGCCTGAAGCTTCCTGGAGCCAAAGCATGCGGTGAGGAGCATGGGCTTGGGGAGTAAGACTGGCCGGGCCAGATCCTGGCGTCCCATCTCCTGTGTGCTCTCCTGGGAAACAACTGAGGACAGAGGAGAGTACGAGTTGGTGCCTACTGCTTAACCTTGTGGGGCTCAGTGTCCCCCCCGGTGAAGCAGGGGTACCGACGGAACCTGCCTCCTCGGATTGCTGTGCGGTTCACATACGAGAATGGCTGGCCCCATGGTACAGGCTGCTGCATACCTTTGGGCAGTAAGTGAGAAACAGTGGAAAGCAGGGCCAGGGGCTGGGAAGTAGCCACGGCCACGTGGGATTCTGCCTGCCTCTTGCATCTCCTCCCACTGGCCTCATCGCAGACAGAGACACCCTCTCCCGAGGGCCTCACCTCCATCTCAAAGAGGAAGCCACAGTGAGTTTCTCAAAGCCCTGTTGGCTATTCCTCTCTATGTTTGTCCCAATTTTGTTGAAACCCTGAACACAGAGGCCAGAGGTAACTTTTCTTGTCAAGGTCTATGGAATGGTGGGAAGAGCCAGTCACCGACTGAACACTGGGACGGGAGGGCTCTTCGGCCAGTCCTCCAAGATTCTCCCACCCCTGTAGGCAGATGAGGCGCCCCTGGCAACAGAGAGCAGAGGTCCTGCAGCTGGGGGCTGGGGGCTGGGGGCCGAGGGCCGGGGATGGATCCCGACAGCTGCTGGGAGAACACACGTTCTTCTCCCTTGAACCCATGACTTGGAAACCTCCTGTGAGATGGGTCTCGGTGTGCAGGAGCATTTCTTTATGACCCCAACTGTGGAGGCTTGAAGGGGAGGAGCACAGCGGTCTAGTGGGGCCCAGGAGGGTTCTGCCGTCTGCCTAAGCAAAGCCCACCCTGGGCTGTGAAGTGTCTGACCACAGGGAGAGCTGCAGAAACACTCGCAGTGCTTAAAGGGGTGATTTTAAAATGTGGCATCTCATGGTGCACGAAACAGTGATGGAAACCACAAGTGGACAGTCCTCCCTACCTGGGCCTGCAGTGCAGCAAAGTCCCTGAGCACATTAAGGCACGGCAGAGCCCAGCAGCAAACATTTTGCCTTGATTTGCTGTTTAACCCCGTGTTTCTCAAACATACTTGGCCGCTGGCCCTTTTGCTAAGGAACAAGTTCTTTCTGTGGGACATTGCTGGGCAAAGAGTGAGTCAGGGCCCCCTCCCATGCACACTGGCCTCTCCACAAATGAGAAACTCGTGTGGCGAGCAGGGTGCAGGCGGTTCGAGCTCCCTGTGTGCCCTTGGCCAGACCCTGAATGCAGCAGCCTGCCTGGGAAAGGACACACAGCCCCCGGGGCCAGCCTCAGACCTCACTGACCAGGGCCTGAAGGCCCATGCTGGTTACTGTAGTCTCACCTCAGGGTGAAGGCCAAGCCTCTGAGGGAGGAATAGGGTGTTCTGGCGGAGAAGGTCAGAGGCCATGTCTAGCCTGGAAGTTTCTGTATGAACCAGCCATCATGAAGGGCCACTGAACAACCCTGGGCTACCCTCAACACAGGAGCCCAACACAGGAGCCTCAGAACAGCTCTGGGAAGCTGATCTGTGCTGCATTATTTAAAACACACACACACACACACACACACACACACACACACACACACACACTTCACCAGCACTCATTGCAGCAGAAGTTAATGATCATTGGGAAAAGCGGAAGGAGACCGGCCCGTCCATCCCGGCCGTGAACTGCACGGTTTAGAGTCTGACTGTCTGGCTTCTGTCCTCTGGCTTCGGGGTGGACTAGTTCTCCTGGCAGATGCATATATGAACTCTATGTAGATTAATTCATGATTTCAAAGAAGCTTTGAAGCTGGCAAAACATTCTGTTATTTCCAAGAGTTATTACAACTGAAATCCTGGCACAGACTGGAAGGTCAGCCTGTAATCTTGTTTAGATCCTTTTAAATTCAGAAACTTTACAGTGGGTTAAAAATAGATCGCATCTGTGTCCTTCTGCTCCTTTCATCCCCGCTGCAAAGGCTGTGCAGTGATTTTGACCTACCCTCGCTATTAGCCAGAGAAATCCTAGCACTTGGCAACTGGGAATCTGTGGAGCCCAAACAAGTCATTTTTAAATGCAGATTGACGCAGCCATTGTGGAAAGCAGTATGAAGTTACCTCAAAAAACTGTAAAAGCCTTATGACCCAGCTATTCCACTTCTTGGAATATGTCCGAAGAAACTGAAACACTAATTCGAAAGAATATATGCACCACTGTGTTCACTGCAACATTACTTACAACAGCCAAGACTTGGAAGCAGCCTCAGCTGGTTTGGCTCAGTGGGTAGAGTGTTGGCCAGCGGACTGAAGGGTTCTGGGTTCGATTCTGGTCAAGGGCATGCATGCTGGTTTCAGGTTCAATTCCTGGCCCTGGTCAGGACATGAGAAGGCAACCAATCCCTGTGTCTTTCCCTCTCTCTCTGTTTCTCTCCCTTCCTTCCACTCTCTCTAAAAATCAATGGAAAAATACCCTTGGGTGAGGATTAACAACAACAAAAAACAACAAAAAAAGATTTGGAAGCAGCCCAAGTGCCCATCAGTAGATGAGTAAATAAGAAAGCTGTGGCCCATTTACACAATGGAATACTACTCAGTCATAAAAAGAAGGTCTTACCTTTTGTGACAGCATGGATGGACCTGGAGTTATTATACTATTGAAATAAGCCAGTCAGAGAAAGACTAACACCATATGATTTCACTTACATGTGAATCTAACAAACAAAATAAACTAACAAACAAAATATAAACAGACCCATAGATACAGAGAACAGACTGACTGACAACTGTCAGAGGGGATGGGGGTTGAAGGACTGGGTGAAAAAGGTGAAGAGATTTTAAAAAATAGGTTTTGGGGGTGATGCTCACCACATGCCTGAGCAAAGTTGCTCGTTATCCTGCATAATAAGTTCTAGAATGAATAACAGCAGACTGTCACTCATTACGAACAGCAGAATAGTACATGGATTCGTGTGGCATGGAAATGTGGCCAGGCGAGGAGAAACATTTTCAACAGTGCTACCCTGCCCTGGAGGGCTGTGTCCTCGCATATCGACCAGGAAAGAGCCCAGTGCGTAGATCAAAAGAAACTGGAGGAGGCTGGAAGGGCAGGCTGCTCTTAACCAAAAGTTAAGTGAAGATTGCACCTGGTTTCAGAAGAGTCAAAACACTGCACGGTATCTTATATGGCACCCGACGGGTGAAGAGGGTGCCAGCATTTTCCTGCCAGCACAGATAGCATTCCATTCAGGATGACCTCTCAGCGGCGACTTTACCTTCATGAACATGCTAAATCCAGTCTTCAGGAGGTCGGTGAGGCCTGACGACATATGCTCAATATCAACAGGATCTGGCCTTTCGGGATCAAATATTTCCTCCACAACCTGCTTCAGCAACGGCTTGTAGGATGCCTGGAAGGACAAAATATTGTGCTGTGAGCAACAGGGTTTATCTGGAGAGAGGATGGTTTTATCTGCACCCAAGGAAACAAAACAATGTAATTTTGATACTGAGCAAAGGCTACGAGTTTGTGTGTGAAAAGGCAATTATAACAACATTGGATTTTTTGGTAAATGTTCACCCCAGTACCTCACCACTAATTGTTGTTTCTCATATTCCTTATAGAAGCAAATCTCTCGTCCCCAGAGCTATAATCACAGAATGGCTAGTTTTTCAATCAAGATTGAAAGCGATGATTTTATGTATGAAGTATACTGGAAAACAAAGTATTGTCATTTGGTATAGACATAAAGATGGTCTCCAGGTTTTCCTAAATATTGTTAGAACTATGCTCCTTCTGCTAGGAACTCAAATGTTTTCTTTCTTCCTTTCTCCCTCCCTCCCTTCCTTCCTTCCTTCCTTCCTTCCTTCCTTCCTTCCTTCCTTCCTTCCTTCCTTTCTTTCCCCCTTCCTCCCTTCCTTCCTCCCTTCCTTCCTTCCTTCCTTCCTTCCTTCCTTCCTTCCTTCCTTCCTTCCTTCCTTCTTCTCTCTTTCTCTCTCTCTCTCTCTCTCTCTCTCTCTCTCTCTCTCTCTCTCTTTCTTTCTTTCTTTCTTTCCTTTGTCTTTATTTTAGAGAGAGGAAGGGAGCAGAGAAGAGAGATAGAAACGTCGATTGGCTGCCTCCCGCACACTCCCTACCTGGGATGGAGCCCACAACCCAGACATGTGTCTTGACTGGGAATAAAACGGGTGACCTCTTGGTTCATGGGTTGACGCTCACACCAGCTGAGCCACACCAGCGGGTGGAATGAATGTTTTCATACAATGTTTTGTTGCCGTCCAAGCCCAAGGCATTCCCTCCTTCCTCTACGGAGCTCAGCTCCAAGGAGGACTTGGACAGAGAATGCAGCCAAGGTGCCAAAAAGGAATCCGACCAAGGCCAGGGCTGAAGAGAGGGAGGCCACGTGGTACTATAAACATTTCAGTAGAATTTAGTTGAACTTTTGATAAATAATGCTAAATGCTTTCCTTTTCTGTGACCTGAATAACCTGCCCACACTTAGTAATACTTGGAGGCAGCTCCTCTAACTGAGCATGCTCCCCACCTCTTTCCTTGGTTCTCCTTACTAACAAGCTCCTCCTCTCTTCCCTTCAGTGGATCACTGTCCTCCCAGTCCTGCGGCTGCCTCTGCTGCTCCAGTTCCACAAGGCACCCAAGTGTGAGCTTAAAGGATAAAGGAAGGAGGAATGACTTCCCTCAATGCATTCTCTCAATCTGTTCTATCTCTACTGCGTCTGTTATAGGCTCAGAACAGCCAGGCTCCCACGGAGCACCGGTGAGATGTCTTGAACTCCTGTTTCTCTCTTCGCATGTGAGCTGCCTTTAGCAAGTGTCCGGGGTATTTGGTGTATTGACTTCAACTCTGGCTTCATCTTGCTTTTCTCACTGTCATTTATTTTTTACTCTTATTTTCCCTTTATCCCTATTTTCTTATCTAAAATATCTTAAAAATAAAGCAGGGCATATACTATCAAGATCATAAACAATCATTTAGCCAGAATGCAACTGGTGCATTTGGCAGGGATAAGATGCAGGGAAAAATAGCAACTGCTCAGTTGAGGGTGTAGCCTTCTTATGCTTATTAGTCAAGTAGACCATTGCATGCCCAGAGATCTCACAGTTTAATGCTTTTGAAAGTAAACCACTGGACAGGAATATCGATAAGACAGAAATTAACACACACACACACACACACACACACACACATACACACACACGTCAACCTTCCTCATAATAAAGCTATATCCAGAGAAATTTTAAAACTTTACCATACAGGCAAAAATCTATAGGTTTGAAAATACACTTTTGATGGGGCCATAATGAACTGAAACTCTCACATATGGCTGATGGAAGGGTACACTGCTACATAGTGTGGAGAGCCATTTGGCAATACCTATCAAAATTACAATTGCATTTGACCTAGCAATTCCACTTACAGGAATTTATCCTATAAATATGCTGATATATGTAAATGATGCTCATAAAGGGCTGTTTACTGTTTGTAATAGCAAAAGATTGGAAACAGCTCAAGGGCCTATCATTAGGGAGCTGTTTAATAAATGGTATGCATCACAGGAGGGGATGCTATGAAAGTGCAGAGGGAAGTTCTCTGTTGACCGGGCAGAAAGGAAGGTGCAGAATGAAGTGTGGGTGAAAAAAGCAAGGTGAGAAACAGTGTATGATGGGCTGGACTTACGTGAAATGTGTCATGTGTATATTTGTTGAAATACAGAAAAAAAATAAATTCTGATGTGATATACAGAGACTACCATGAACAGTGATCATAGAACAGGGGATTGGAGAAGGAACAGAAGTGGGAGGAAAACTTTTTAATATATTGCTTTTTTAATTTTTATTTTTCAATGTATTGCTTTTTAAAAACACAGTTAAAACACCACTACAAACAGCAACAAGATTTTTTCACTTGTTGAAAACGAATAGATTGTGCAAGGAAGAGAATAGAGTAAAAACACACCAAATATTAATTAGGGCTAGCTCTAGGTTCTGGGAGTGGGGGATATTATTTTCTTCTTTTTTCAAAATTTCCAAAATTAACAAGTATACTTCTAGAAGGATAATGTAATCTAATAAATACTTTCAATGTTAAGAAAAATAAAGGTCGTAGGATGACCTTTGAATTCTATAAATCCTCTTCCTTGAGTAAACCGTCTTTAGAGTCCTATCATCTCAGCCTTTCTGGACATTTAATCTCTTAAACTTCAACACTCATCTCTTTAAACTGCTCCCAAGTTACATATTATGTAGGAGAGACCTCTAAATTCTTTATCAAAACAACTAAGCACAGCCCGGCCGGTGTGGCTCAGTGGATGAGTGTTGACCTGTGAACCAAGAGGTCACAGTTCGATTCCAGGTCAGGGCACATGTCCAGGTTGTGGGCTTGATCCCCAGTGGGGGGGGGGGGCATGCAGGAAGCAGCTGATTGGTGATTCTTTCTCATCATTAATGTTTCTATCTCTCTCGCCCTCTCCTTTCCTCTCTGAACTCAATAAAAATATATTAAAAAACAACAACTAAGCACAGAACAATAAGTAACACTGTGCCTTTAATAAGCAAGATTTGGAAAAGACTCGCTCAGGTACAAAGTGGTACTTTTATGACTTAGCCAACACCTTTCTTCGATTTTCTACTTTGGGTTTTAATGATGAGAACCTTTGGCTCCTTCCTCTCGGCCACAGAGCCCAGATTGCTTTGTGCTCCGAATCCTGTCACTGAAATCTGACTGGAACGGACCGCTTTGGCAGTGGCTTCTCAGAGGAGAAACCTCGGATGGTCCTGGAATTTTCTACTCAGCCAGAAGCTACCCGCTTCTGAGAAAGGACCACAGTGAGGCGGTGAGAGGGGACAGGATGTCTTCCGCAGCGCCCTGCTCAAAGTTTCCCTCGTGTGCTAGAAAGGGCCAGAGGGGAGATGAGTCGTGTAGTTTGTCTCAACATTAACAGGGTTAACCATAGTAATTTAATTTTCCTAATCAAACATTCCCTGCCAGTTCACCTTTATTGGGGGTGGGGGGGGGGTGGGGAGAGGAGAGGAATTAAAGACACAGGCATTTTCATCCTTTTCCTGTCTTGCTGGTCATTAATTCCTTGCTTACACCACATCCAGTGTGTGTGGGCAGTAGGGGTCTGTGCCTGCCACAGTCACTCAGACACCAGGTTCTTCCACTCCCTCAGGCCCCGGGGTCCCCACCGCAGCCCTTGTAGCTCATCATCAGACGAGGAAAGAGAGTACGGAGGGTTTGCAGAGAGATTTCATGGGCTCTGCCCGAAAGTGATCTGTATCACTCCCACCATAATTCATCGGCCAGAATTAGTCACAAACCTACATTTACCTGCAAGGGACTCTGGAAAATGTGGCCTCACTGTGCCAGGAGGAACAGAAGCGGCGTTTGGGGTTCACATACACTGTCTCTGCTGCACACATACTGTGGAGTCGGATTGAAACATGCATATAATTATTCCCTTTACAACGGACACGTTGCATGTTGTAGGCAAAGTACTATTAAACCCTTTTCCCTTCTGCATAAGAATTTGACCTTTGGTTAACTTTTTAGCTGTTTCCCTGGAAACCTGATAAGGGAAGAATGTCAAACTCTAGCCAGGCAAGATTGCTTCTGATAAAAGTGACCCCTGCTTGGTTAACTGCATTAGACTGGGGGGACTATAAATACTGGATAGAAGGCCAGGCCTTGGGGCTTCTCTGAGTCCGATGACTCTTGCACGACTGGCATAACTGGGCACATCCCTTGGAGGGACGCTGGAAGCTACACTGTGCAGTTGTTCCAGAGAAATTGGCTCCTATGGGAGACGAGGAACTGCCCCCCGCTCCCCCATGTGAGTCTAGTTCCCGCACTCCTGAGCTGTCACCTCGGGACCAAACTGAGTAGCAGTGGTCACAGGGACTAAATAACTACTCTGGGGAAGGAAAATGCCCGCTACTTCCCCGTGGCGAGCTGTGTTCCTGCCTTGGGCAGACTGGTGTCAAGTGGGGGCTATGGCCACAGAGCCGACTTACCCGCCAGGCACACAACACAGAGCCTGCGTAGGACCTGGGAGACTTTTAGGGACCCATAAAAATGCAGCAATTTCTTTTAAAATTAGGAGAAAAAAAATACCTTTTAGGTCAAAGAAAATGTTTTGATATATACTATTTATATATTTGTCTCTACACCAATACAATGGCATAATAAAATTTTTGGTATTTTTTATTTTTGTAGAGGAAGGGGGCCACAAACTCAAAGCTGCTTAGGGCCATGAAAATAATAATATCGCCCTGTATGAGAGTGTCCTGAGGCTGCCTGAGGTTTGTTAGAGCCCACAGAGACCCCCAATGGGTATTACATTTGAAATAATTACAGTTACAAAAAGTGATCTTACACCAGAAACTCTTCTT